TTTCTGTGTGAAGTCATTTTTAAACACAGTTATGTGACATTTCCGCCATATAAATATCTAAACTTGTGCTGAAAAACAAAACTTTGATGACTTTCCATCCATCTTTATTTGCTCATCTAATTCAGATTGGCAGCCTATCCCAGCCCCATAAGACAAGAAGCAGGGTACACCCTGGACACGTTGCCAGTCTGCCACAGCGCCAACACAGAGGGGCACTCACATTCACACCTATGGGCAATTTAGAGTCACCAGTTATCCTAAACTCCTAGAAGCTGGAGTACCCACACGCAAAGGCCTCATCCTTTCTGTGGATTTGAACCCAGGACCTTCTTGCTGTGAAGCAACAGTGCGAACCACTATTTTAAATTCAAAGAAACATTTACTGTCCATTGTCATGCAGTAGTTTTATGTAATTACTGAGCTCAGAGATCACAGATTTTCTGTGCGACAGTCTGTTTAAATCAGTGACTGTGAACAAAACAATAGAGCACCTACAGTGTTGCATGACTCCTTAACACATGCCTCGTGCTCTTCTCATTGTCCTGCTGTGCTATTTGGGGCAGCTAAAACACAAAGCAGTATTAGGAGGCTGGCACGTCATCGGCTGGGTGCTCTGACAAAGGACTGCACTGTCACTGGTGTTGGTTCACAGATCAGACCAGCTAACCTGGTGACCCACACCTGTGTTAACCCAGAGTGTTAACCCAGATTCATTGTAGACCAATGTCTGTTGTTGGCCATTATTATCCATCCATCCACCCGTCCGTCCGTCTGTTCGTCCATCGGCATTAAAATTATTATTAAAAGATGTTTATACACAGAACCTTTTACAGAAGTGTCTAAAACTCCATAAAAAATGTGATTAAAGCAAAAGTAGGTGGACATCTACGCATTATGCTGATATGCGATAGCTGGACATCTCTTATTTCCTTACTGTAGGCATTTCTCCAGATTTAGGAACCTTGCTGCACACAATTATTCTCACTCAGGCCCAACAACATGGACACTGTCATTATGAACTTTGCGGTCAATGAATTTCTTCTCAACCAAATCAGGGAAAAATTCTTTTAGTGCTGGCTTGTGCATGTGGAATTAGTCACAATGAAGCCATACACAGAACTTTATCAATGGAAACCCATGAATGTCTTTATATACTTCTGGTTTTGGGTTCAATGTCATGGGTGATTATTTAATAGTTACAGCTCAATGATTTTCTTTAATAGTTTGCTGATTACTGCTTTTACTGCCACCTTCTGGTCAAGGAAGGAGAAACACAGCCAACAGGACAAAGGAGTGAGCGTCAATTCAATTTTTTAACTCAATTCAATTCAATTTAGTTCAACGCCTATAAAAGTAAATCATATACAAGATTGTAATGATTGATAAAACATAACTAATGCTTACATTTCCATGTAAGTGTGATCCATTATTTCTTTGATTAAAGCTCTGGTCAGTTTCCATTTTTTAATTAAAAAAAAAAAGCATATTTCATTCATTGTTAAATGTTTAATTCTGAAACCAAGTTCTTCTTTTGTGGAGTCTGTGTTGTATATCAGTACAAAGCAGAGAATTAAGAGTTGACACTTAGACTCCTCATCGATCCTCAGCTGGAGTTGACGCGTCAACCTGCGAGCGCCTCCGGTGTTATAATGCAGTCGGATCTCATGGGTGACAGACGGAGGAGATTGAGAAGTAAGAGGGAAAACTCAACATTGACCACAGCAGCACATCAGAGAAGATGTCAGAGGCATCAAAAATATTGATCCCTCAGCACCCTTCTCACCTATGAGGATGTAGCTGAGATGAATGGGAGGATAAGGTTGTCCCTGATGACTATACAGAGAAAGAGAAAATCTATCATGCCCCCTTTGATGTTCTTGATACAGGGATTGGAGAGTAAATAAATAAATAAATAAATAAAAGAGAGAGAGAGAGAGAGACAACGAGCCTATGTGAAGAAATGTTGAATAGCTTTCAGGTGTTTTCTTACAGTAGCTGTGGCTTCTTGTCTGCAGATTAGCTTATTAAAGAGCCGAAGCAGAAGACAAAAAAGCTCACGAATTAATTTCAGCAAACACATGAAAATCTTTTTGAAAAGGAGAAAATGTTTCAGCCAGCATTTCCCTGGCTTGTGCTGTGAGCAAAGCTTATGCTTTATGTACATCATTAAAAAGGACCTTGATGCAATTATCATTTCTTCTAAAGCATAAACACTTAGAAGCCCCTTTTCTTCTAAAGCGTTATTTGTCGTGCCATTTTGAATCCTGTTTATTATTAAAAATCTTCAGTTTGTTTCCCAAGTTTGCGTTTCATTTATTATTTCAACCCTTTTGTTTTATCTCTGTTGTAGGTTGAGTTTTTTTACTTGTAGTAATCCTGCATTTTCAGATTCCTGGTGTCTGGTGTTCCCATGTTCTGGTTTTCTCCACCTCTCTCATCCCCTTATGTGTATAAGTAACCTCTTACCTGTGTTCCCTTGTTGCATCGTACTGATTTCCTGCCTGCCTCTTTCCCTCTGTGTTATCTTGCCATTTGCATTATTTGCTACTCTGCATCTTGGACTCTGCTTTGGATTCATGTTTGTATTAGAGATCCAAAAGTGCTAGCACCTACACTTTTTAATGAACCATAAACTTTACGGCAAATGCCCACATCAATCATATTCTATTAACCCTGGTCATAACTCTGATTTTCAAGTGAAAGATAATCTTTGCTCACTCTGTCCCTGCTTGTAAGAATAATGAAAATAAAATAAAAAATTAAAAACATCTAAAACAAAGTGGATGTTTTAATCATTAAGACATTTACTGGAGGAATCCATTCTGCACAATCAGATATGTCCAAAGCGATCAAGTTACAGCTAATAATTATTTAGTGGGCTGATCTTTTTGCCCCTGCATGCCAGACAAATATGACCTCTGACCTGTGACCTCTGCACCCTTCACCTCGCATAACTTGACATGTAGGCATTTGCGATTTTAAAAATGCAGGTAGAGTAAACTTGATGGGTCTTAATAGCATTTATGTAATCCTGTCAAAAACTACACAGATAAATAAAAAAACATTCACTTTTACCTAGTGGTATAAAAAATTATTTCTTAGAAGCTTATTAGAATATCAGTGGGCTAATTTTATGACACTGTAGAGCTTAGAAAGCAGGTTTTCATTTGGCCACATTGGCTTGTCAAACTTCTCATGCAGCTATTTATTATTATTTTTAAGTCATTCATTTTCCTTAAACACTTCTTTTCAGAGTAATGTGGCATTTGTTCTAGCATGCTCCGAGACAGAAAGCAGTGAGGTCCTCCGTCCATCACAGACCTGTCAGTTAGCACTGTTTGCTTAAGACTGCATTGTAAATCAGCCCTGACATGACAATGGCTGATAATGAAAGCTAAATGCTCTCCCCCCAGCTCTGTATACTCTATGAAATTAAAGGTTCCTATTGCTATGTGACCTTTAACAGCCCATATAAGCCATTCAGACATCTTAACATGATTTATTTCCAACCAGTCACAGTTTGACATCGAATTAGGTCATTATACAAAGACTGCATTCACGAAGATCCTAATTGGAGGAAACGAAGACGAGTTGGGCTCTCTGGGTTTTACCAATAGGATCTGGCTGCGATGAGCTGAACTGGCAAGTCAGCGTCTTGTTTATGTTAGAAGGAGATGGATCGGGCACGACCTCTCGACCCATTTCCTCTGTTGATTTTTTGCTTGTGGGCTTAAGGGAGCATGCCCAACCCCCCTGCCACAACACAAATATACACACACCACGGGAAGAGGAAGCAAACTTGTCTCATGCCTAACAAGTGGCAGAGCAATTTGTTCTGAGACAAATTGAAACATGTCAAAATGGCCTCTGTAGGAAATAAGTGATTCGAACTGATGCCCTGTGTGCAGACAGAATCAGGTCACTTAAAAGCCATTTAACGTTGGAGTCAGAAATGTCCATATTTTTTTATCTAAAAATAGTAATAAAAAAAACCCCATAAACAGAATAAACACCTATTCACAAAAAAATAATAAATAAATCACTGACCACTTAATAGGTGAAGACAACTGTTCTCCTTATTTTTGATTTGAAAATTCGTAAAATATGTATTTAATTTAATTTTCCATATGATTTGTGATGTATGGAAACTTTACAGCTTTAACTGGGAGTGTTTGGGGAAAAAGGAAATGGAAATTTTTGAAAGGATCTTCATTAAGATGACAGATTGTTTTTAGAGGCATTATCTTACATAAGAGTTGAGCCATATCTTCATACTCTCAGATTAAACGAAGGTTTTTCAGGCTTTATGTTAAATTAAACTAATTTGTAGCTGCTACTGTTAGTTTTGTCCTTTGTGAGTCACTGATGGCTGACAGCTTTTAATAATTTGACCAGAAGATGGCGGCATTTTATTATCGTTTCCCTCGTTCTTAGCGAAGTACAATTTTCCCCCAAATTTTGAACACATAAGGTTTTGCTGTAACAGTTGAGTTTATGAATAGCGTGTGGATTTATCATGCTGGAGAACAGGAATCATTTTTTTCCTTTTCCAAATTATGGACACAAATAGAACCACAATGGGGTGATGATGTTCAACAGGATAAGCGGACCACACACTGCAGAGACGTGATCACGATGGAGAGAGTTTCAAATCTGTCTCTCCTCTCTGACGTCTTAATTAGAAGCCTCGGTCATCACATTTGTAAATGATCCATCTTATTAAGAGTTATGTGAGCCTTCAGCTTAAACCTCTTATAATAAGCATTTTTTGTCCTGGCTTAACAGACGGTTTCTTCTTTAACTTCTGATGGCCAAACCAAAAATAACACCGGGAATAACAAATGTCCCTCTTCCACTACCGCTGTTCCAAAAACGAATAACTGAAAACTGGGCGATCTATGTGGGATAAAGTAAAATGTGAGACATTAAGCTCGACAGAGAACAGAAGTCAAGAGTTAATAACAAATCTTAAGCGCAGGGGGGCTTTAAACTAAGAAGACCACCTGTAGTTTCACCATTGCCGTGCCGATATTGTTCTCCTCGTCTCACAGCATGTAAATCTGCAGCACCAGGGACGCTTAATAGAGCTTATCCCACGTGACTACAAAAGCAATTTACATGTTTTAGTTAAATATAAATGAAACTACAGCTGTCATAGCTCAGCCATTGCGCACAGAGATGCTGAGACTTTAGCACCTTGCGCACTCTGCTCTTTAGTCTGAATACTGAGATGCTGCTTCAAGGCATGAATTGCATCAACAACTTAAAAACAAAAACTAAGAAATACACAGTTTGACAGTGTCAGATTCCAGGAGAAACAAGTATTGAGAATAACCAGGAAACATGAGTAAACGTTCAATAAAAGTTGTTTTATTCTCAAAATAAAATCTTCTATCAAAATGGAAATTATATATATTTACAGTCTCGTAAAATTCAATGTACAAATGTACAATGTATGTACACCAATAATTATATAAATACACTTTATGCGCAAATGCAACCCGTACGAGGCAGTATTAAGGCATTGATTAATGTACGCATAAATCCATCTTGTAGACAAAACAGCCCAGCAATGGCCTCATTTCTAGCAGAACAGTCTCATTGTGAATATTGTGTTTAAGACACAGCGGCTCTTTGCAGTGAGAATAAGGAGATACTCAGATATACCATATAACCTATCGACAAGGGGGATCTTGTCAGCTGTGTGCATTCAATTAAGCTCAGATAAGACTCTGCATTCTTCGTGCCAGGTACATTGTTCTGCTGCTGACAGTCTCATTATTTAAAGAGAAGCCATTAGGCGCTCATTAATGTGCTAATTACAACACGCTGATGGACAATCCCAACACAATTAGTCACCCCTCCCCCTCTCAAACCCTCTATTCAAAACCCCTGGACGTCACTGGAAGAAGGCAAGGGAAGAGCACTTTCCATAAGTCAAACTGATCTAAGTTTTATAAGCAAACCGGAGCATAAATCCATTAAACTTTCACATTAGGGGAGTGCTCAGGAACAAAGTTTGACTTTAACTAGCAGTTTGGGGACTGACGTTTAATAATTTACCCATTAAAAACAAAACAAAAATCATTCTCTATGACACATTGCCCCCAGAAAGCTGGTTTTAAGTCTTTAGTGTCAAATGACATGAGATTGGGCAACTGGGCGTCCAATCCACCTGATCAAACCCGGGAAAGTGGCATCTGTTTGGGGCAGGAGACGGAACTGGCCGTCCCAGACCTCCAGGTCAGTCCAGTGCTCACGTCACTGTACATGGAGCCCGCTGAGGCTTTACTACCCCAGCAGCACCGCGTGCAAAAAGTCCTCCAGGAGTCCAAGGTCTTCCCGGACCAGATCCAAGCTCCCGACGTGATACCCACCAGGAGGCACATGAAGTATTTCAGCATAAACACAGCATAGTCTGGCCTCTGCCTGTTCGGGTCCGTCATGCACGTACAGTTGTGCGTAATTTCCCACGTCTGCCTGTTATGCTGCTCGTAAAAGTAACACGCCACTATGACAGTGGCCGGGACTGTATATAAAACAGTGAAAACTCCTATCCTGATCATCAGCCTCTCCAGTTTATCAGTTTTTGTGCCTCCTTGTTTGATAACACTCCTGATCCTGAACAGCGAGACGAAGCCGGCCAGCAGAAACATGGTACCGATGAACAGGTAGATAACCAGCGGTGCCAACACAAAGCCCCGCAAGTTGTCCAAATTCTGGTTGCCTACATAGCAAATCCCGGCTACGGAGTCCCCGTCCACTGAGCTCAGAGCCAGAACCGCGATGGACTTCATGCTGGGAATGAGCCAGGCGGCTAAATGAAAGTACTGTGAGTAACTGGCTATTGCCTCGTTACCCCACTTCATACCTGCAGCGAGAAACCAAGTGAGGGACAGAATCACCCACCAGATCGAGCTGGCCATGCCAAAGAAGTAGATCAGCAGAAAAACGATGGTACAAAGAGCAGGACCAGTGGTTTCATAGTGAATGTATTCTCCGCCGTTTTCTCTATTGCAGGCCACTTCTTCGTGTCCAGCGATCAGTCTGACAATATATCCAACTGACACGAACATGTAGCAGGCGGAGAGGAATATGATGGGGCGCTCCGGGTACTTAAACCTCTCCATATCAATTAAAAAGGTCGCCACAGTTGCAAAAGTGGAGATGAAACACAGAACCGACCACAGGCCGATCCAAAAGGCAGTAAAAGTCCTCTCTTCTGGTGTAAAGTAAGGGTTGTGGCACGGAATGGCACAGTTCAAGATCTGTCCAGTTTTGACGCGGTTGTGCAGAGGGTGGCTGTCGCTGGTAACGGGCACCATGGGCGCACGGCAGAAGCATCCCGTTTCACACGTAGACGCTGCTGGTTTGTGCTTACCGGGGATCCCACGACCATAGCCGCTCTTCTTCTTGGTGTTGTACGGCTTTAAGGGTCGGTTGGTTGGCTTCGCCACCACAGGAGAGACAGTGGTGGTCTGGCTGCGGTTGTAGTCCATGCACAGCGTGTCCTGGTTGCCTTGTTCGGGCAGCAGGTCGCATCTCATCCGGTCTGGCCACGGGAAGCCGTACTGTCTCATGAGCGGCGCACATCCAGCTTTGGCCCGCTCACACACACTCCTGCACGGTGGCAGCGGCTTCTTGTAGTCTTCAAGGCAGATCGGTGTGTACATACTGCAGAGGAAGAAGCGCAAGTCGGGGGAACACTTTATTTCCACCAGCGGCCAGAACTGGTGCACTTCCAGGCCGGCTTCGTCCTGCGTGTCGTGTTTGAACTGGTTGGGCATGTAGGTGTAGTTGTAGCCGATGCCTTTGCACAGAGGTACGGAGATCTCCTGGCACTGGAGCTCTTTGGCAGCCAAGCAGCGCGTTCCGTGCAGAACCAGGGTTAACAGCACGCACCATCCCGGGATGCTCCTATCCATCGTTGTTTTCTGTGCGCGTTTTGTCCTCCAAAGTCAGAGCGAACTTGCTTTTTGCAAGCAGGCTGCAAGTCCAGTTAATCCAGGAGAAGTGCCAAACTCATGCTAATGCGCACGCAGTTTGCGAGTATGTTTAGTACGTGTGATATCCAACACAGGCGTTTTACTTTCTGAAAATCTGTGGATACTTCCAGTCTACCCTCCCTCTCTCTCTCACTCCTTTGTGTCGGTGCAGCACCGCGTCTCTGCCTGCATGCTCTGTAACACACGGGAGCGTTTGGCTTTATACGAGCTGGAAGAGGACACTCCCTCAGCCTGGGCGGAGAGGAAGAGTAAGTCAAGTCAATCAAGCTTCCTTCTATAGGTGTTTGTTTAAAATGTTCACCCTGGTGGAAGGGTTATAATCACTTTGCCCTTGTTTGCACTCCCCCAAGAGACACACACAGACGCAGAGTCACAGCGCCCTTTACAAACAAGGAAAAGTTATCAAAAAATAAATACATTATGCAGGAATGTAAATAGGAATGCAGACAGCCAACTAATAGGATACAAATGAACTAATTAGGGTGTGGACTTAATACATTAGTGCCTGTTCTCTTGGTGGTGGGTTGTAGGTCAAAACACTTGACTCAATCATTCATTTTCTCAAAAATGCAACATGAAATGAAGGAGAAAACTAAAATGTTAGCCGATTTTTCTATTGCTGTTTTTTCTACTGAATTTATAACGTCTATCTTCAAATGATAAGGAGCATCAAGTGCTGTAGTGATTGCCATTACCAAAATAGTAAGCAAATCAGATTCTCAGCAGACTCACAGGATTCATCTGCAGAGGATGGAAATATTACATCTTGTACCTACACAACACCAGATCACTTTATTCTGTCACAGCTCTTAAGTTAGAATTTAAGAATGCTACTTTAATATCTGGGCAGTTTCTGAAAATTAGCTTTTTGACTAATTTCACAGGATTTCTCGGTTCATTAATGTTGTCAAATTAATGAATTAAACAAAAAAATATGGCTGTCTTCCCCCAGTGAAGCCTGCTCTGTACTTTAGCTGGTTTTCATTGACAATCTTTCAAGTTAATCAGTGGATCAAACATCTTCCAGTCCCAACCTACACAAGTAGGAAAAAAGAGCTGTCATTGCTGCTGATGATACAGCATATTCCCAATCATCAGTGCCTGATCCATTCAAATTTTAACTTGTCTAAATCTAAAGAGAAAACAGTTTTGCTCATTCACTGTTTAAAGCCACATGGACAAACTAGTTTCTCTGGTTTTTAATTGGAAACCAGTATAAACTCAGTTTTGCATGCAAAACTCCTGGTTCACATTGAAGATGAGCTTGATAAAATTAATTTCACTAATCTTCTGTAAACAAATGGTTGTGAAGGCCACAAGGAAACACTCCTTTTTGATGCCGTCTGTCATTTAGACACAATCCAGTGCAATGAAAAAACTCCTGCCCTTATATCTTACAATGTAAATATGTTTCTGTGGCCTACATGAAAATGTTTGTACATGCACATTTGCATGTGTCTTCTTGCATGCAGGAGAACTACTACGGGGAAAATGTGTGTGTGGTAAGGGTGGTTGCTATAGTCTTGTTAGCTCACAGCAGGGGGTCGTCTTGTTTGAAAGGGAGGGGGCTGTTTGTCTTAATGCTGGTGCCAATGTTTCAGTAAGATCATGCTGGGCCAGTGATTACTGCAACACACCACAGGCCTAATAGACAGGATACTGTGTGTGTGTGTGTGTGTGTGTGTGTGTGTGTTTGCAAACAGTTTCAGAGCTCAGCTCTAAGAGAATAAGCTAACATGGGCAAATACAGCATTGTGATAGCACTAATTAAAGTCATTCACACTTCTTATTGGATTCAGCAGCTTCAAATGGAGCTGAGACAGTTTGGCAGACAGGCAGTGTGTTTCCAATCCACAGGTTTTATCAGAACTAATTAGCCCCAAACTCCAGTATTTGCAAAAGGCTGCTTGTTTCAGCTGGGTTTGGATTCTCCGATGTGTGGGGTTGTGTGGTTTCTGGCTAAACTCTCAATAAGAAAACCTCTAATCAAATCAATAAAAGAGCAAAACTGCTTTTATTTACCATTATCAGACAAACATGTCTTTCTAAATATGGATAGCTGTTGTCTTATCACAGCTTTATAAGATACATATTTTTTTTCTTTTAAGTCAATCTAATCCCAAACGTATAGGTTAACCTCGCAACATACAGAAGAACTTAAAACTAGCCCTCAGATTATCTAACACGTAAAAACAGAGGTTCTTCTATTCTAAAGGAAGAATGCACAGAACTAATAGGATTCTGTCAGTGGTATAATTGCGGTTTTTCAAAATAAAAATATATTCTTGCCAAATTCCCCTGGATCCATCCTGAATTCCCAGTCAACCTTCAACTCTCTTCAGATAATAATTTAAAGTATATTTCAGCATATTAAAGTGTTTCCAGTTACAAATGTGTCAGCACATTTGCACATTAAGAAAACTTTTCAAAACCCAAGTCATGACTTGAGTTACATGCACTTCATTTACCTGCAATATGGACAGACAGAAAAAAGGAAACAAAAACAAATAGTCCTTTTCCTGCTCACTGTAATCAGCTGACTTCACTTTGTGTGGGAGGAGTTGAAAAATAGCAGAATGGTCTGAGACTGCCGAGGAGTAGCAAGAAGAATATTACTTCCAGTTCAATTGCATGCATAAATATGAAAACAATGACAAAGTGCATACTGCGATGTGGCCAGAAGCAACTATCAACTGCTGATAGCAACACATCAACTCTTTCCACACGTCTGCATAAATAACATATCAGAGCTAATGACAAAGAGAATAATCTTAAACCAAAGTGTATGCTGAGCTGTGATTTTTTTCAGAGGTTAGAGAATGATGAGCGTTCAGGCCTACAGTCACAACCGCCAGTTTGTGGGATGTTCTACCTGTCCTTGCTCCAACAGGTGTGGGCAGAAATGGCCTGATTGCTTTTCTTTGAAGCATTTTCTTTTTTCTTTTTTCACTAACTTAGATGAATGCTGTATGTTAACAAATAAAAGCTAATTCACTAGCTGGGCCCACGTCCTCATTTTAGGTTTGACAGCGTTTTAGTAGGTAAAGGTGAATGCTTGGACATGAATTGAGCTGCGGTTTGGGGAAGGCCTCGAGGGGGACTGGCGATGGCTCCCGGGCCTGGCAGATCCCCGTGTACTAAATAGAAGTCATGAAGTTAAAGAATTAAAAGGGGGAAGGAGGGGGAGGCACATAAACGAGAACGATCAGCTTGCAGAACTGGGGGAACCTATATAGATGAGAACCGGAAGGAGCGTGTTTGGAGGCGTGGTCCCGCTCCTGAAGCTCCAATACATAACTGTCCAATAGAAGGATATTGTGTGTGTGTGTATAATGCAAAAGTAATGCAATTTGTTGATTCTTTTGATTATTTTATTGATTATTACTTTATGACCCTAACATTGGTGGCTTTAAACAGTACATTTGTTTACACAGCAAGAAAAACAACCTGAATGAATTTGTTTTACTATTAATTTCAGACAATAGTGTCTCGTTTTGGTTGACTTCCACATAAAAATGATGCTTTTTGCAGCTGGTTTTACTTTCAAAACAACATTCACTTTGTCTGAACGGGGGGGGGGAGGACAATTTTCTCATGAAGAAATGAGACTCCTCAGACATTCTTATGTATGTGCAGGAACTTTTTGGGGCTGATCCAGATGCCTCACGCTGGGCCAGCCATCTCCAGCTGAGCTGTGAACTGCAGGTGAAAGTCTTAAGAAACAGGTGCCTGCTCCTCCTGCCAGAGGGAACAAAATAGCAGGGTGGGCATCGGTTACACCAATCGCTGTCTATCAGAGTGGAACCCGTATTGATTAACAAGGCCGATAGACTCGGTGGCCCCAGCCACCAACTGTCGACTGCGCCTCCCCCTTCTGTGTGCAACAGCGATAGTGGGTTTAGGGTTACGCCCTGGCCCCCTGCATACCAAATTTAAAAGGGTGGAAATGGAATTACTGCATCTGTTTAGAAGTCAACTTCTGCATTCTCTGGGCTGCCCACTCTGCCACTCCTCTATCTAACCTCCCTTCTTGACTCTCGGTAGGTTTCCCCCCCGATTCTCCCAGGGCTCTCAAAGTTCACGACGCCAAAGAAAAAGGTGGGTGGGTAGCAAAGGAGGGCGGCTTCTCACAGAGTTACTGAGGCGTGCTGTGAAACTCCGAAATGTCTGTGTCTTTGTAACCTCCTCATGGGAAGTTTGGGCTTGTGATACTCTCAAACACTACTCTCCTTTCTATAATTTAATGTGGTAAAATTAAGTTGATTTGCACCGTGGAGCCACAACCCTGTCAGTCTTGAGTAGTTTCTCTGAAAAATGTGGTTAGATCGATAAGCAAAAAAGGAATTAGGGTTAACAACAGACAAGATAATAAAGTCTCAGTTAATGTGATGCTTCCTCACAAATCAACTCATGTTCATAAGCTCTCACAGAGCGTAGATGATCATCACTGCAATGATGATAAAGTGGCATTTTGTTTTAGCCTTGAAAGACAGAATGTCACAACTGCAATTATATTAAAGGGAAGTTTATGAAGTCTGATTGGGGTGATGAACAAGAATAATTACCCAGAAGACACATTTGTGCATAATCTGGGAGTCTTTGCACACATACAGCTCAGAGCACCTGACATTTGTGTCAGATTTGGCCCAAATGTCATTAGCTGCACTTGACATAGACTAGGGGAAGCTTTTTGTGGGACAGATGTGACCCAGATGTCAGTACACACCTCACATCTGGCCTATATAAACTGAACCTGGTCAAGCAACCAGTCTTACCTCAGAGTCAGTGCAACGAGTCATGGTCAAATCTGGCACGTAGGAGAACCACAGCTTTGGGCTAAATTTGTGCCAAACAAGCATCGCTATCTGGATAATGTTCTATACATATTATAAACAGATATCTATCTATCTTTATATTAACTAGTTATCCATATCTTATTTATTCCAACATCTTCAAACTCTCTACCATGTACCATGAATATAAACATCTCACACATGTTACACATGTTTTGATTGTTAGTATTGTGTGTTGTCTATCCTGTTACTTACACTGAAAGAGAAGAAAAAGACCAAATCCTTTTACTTGGTCAATAAAGTTGATTCAGACTCAGATTACGGTGATGGAATAAAAGGGAATTTTACTGCCAAACAGAATAAATAGCAGGAATACTCAATAGAAAAACAAATGAGGGGAA